GAACTGGTTTTAAAAATGCTTAGTGGGTTTAGTGCTCTTCTAATTATTTTTTTTAAAAAAAAACAAAACTTATTATTATTTTGAGAGTCTGCTGGGCCTATGCTGCACGGAAGATTGATTTAAACCTTGAAATAGAGTTGGGAACTGCCAGTTTTATAGTGTTCATTCTGTCACCAGTGAGCACCTTACAGGTTTTCTACTTTTTTTTGCTGGCAAGGGATTTCACACTTTTTTTAAAATTACTATTTCTATTATTTTGGTGGGAAGGTGCCATTTTTCCTACATCACATGGGCTGCTTCTGGGTGTTGCAGGCCACATTCAACACTGTTAGGTCCAGATGGAAATAGTGAAAATCGGAGCTTGCTTATCATTGGCTTCCCCTCCGAGTCTGTGACCAGTCAGCCAAGCTATTGGACATGAGTTTAGCCCTATTTCAGAACAGCACTAAACCTGTATTCGTAAACAGTATCAAGCACAGAACATGGTTATGTTGTCACCTGTCCACTAAACATCTTGACGGGGGCTAAATCAGTTTTTCTGTCTTCACCTATCCATCTTCATCCATTTAGAGCAGGGGTCTTCCAACTTGGTCCTTTTATGATTTGTGGTCTTCAACTCCCAGAATTCCTCAGCCAATGTGCCTGGCTGAGGAATTCTGGGAGTTGAAGTCCACAAGTCATAAAAGGGCCAAGTTGGAAGACCCCTGATTTAGAGGAAAGTAACCCTCAGTTGGAGAGAGAACAAAGGTGGGGAAAAATATATCCATCACCGTTCTTCATTGGCCCACATTGAACCAGTAAGGGCAGCCTCACTCAGCAGTATCCTGAGACAGAACAGGGATCAGCAGAAGGCAAAACAGTTGATTCCAGCTTATTTTTTCCTGGATTATATGGATGTTATGCTTTATTATGCTTCCTGACTGTGCTTCATCCCTACTTAGAAAAATGGGAAAAGTACATGATGCTAGAAAAAGGTATGTGAATATTGCAGTCAAGAGCATTGCAAGCTTCTATGAGTTGATTTGGTTTAATTTTTTTTATTGTTGTTGGGTTTATGGGTTTATGTTGTTGTGTATTGTGTAAAAGCAGGATATAAATCTAAAAATAAATACAGTATTGGGCCCAAAACCAGCACAGTGTATTTTGCATAAAAAACAGCAAAACTGACTTCTTTATCCTTTCATTCACCTTCATACCTTTATTCCCGAGCAGAATAAGTTGTAAAAGGTTTGAACATATTTTTAAAGTAAGTACGTGTAATAAATGCTCTCTTCATCTCAATGCTAGCTCATTTTAACTTGTTAACATTTAAAAATGCTTGATCTACTATGTTAAATTAACACTATACATAAATAAATATGCTTCCTCTTGAAGCAGAAATATCTGTTATCTTGTAACCACGTTCTATAAAGATTAGTAATTTCTCAATATTACTGACCCTATTTTTTACATAACTTGTTGAACTGTGTCTAACTCGAGTACAGACCAGCTTCTGGAAAATGTCTCCAATTCAAATTCCTCTGAAATTAACTGTATCTTGGTGAGACCCTGCATTGTTCTGGAGATTGGTCTGAGAGGACCACCCCATCCCCTTTGTTATCATTGATACTTCAATATTCAAGGATATGTTGGTCTGTTCTAAACACAATAAGGGCCTGCTTACGTTAATGAATTTTAATGTTCTAGGATATTTTATCCAGCCACATTAAACAATATAGCCCAGAAATGATACCCTTAATGTAGAGAACATACTCTACATAATGGGAGGCACCGTAATCTACGCAGAACAGGAATGTAGAAACTGTAAGGGTAGAGAGGGAGATGGTAAGGTCACACGGAGCAGCTAAACTGAGTTGACATTTGAGAGGTTGGTGGTAGATCATATGGCTGTGTGTGCATGCGTTTTCAGATACCGTCTTAGTATTTCTCTAGTGGAGAATCTATCAAATAAGTATTTGCAATGGGGGTATCCTTTTTGTTGTTTTCAGCCTCAATAACCTTGAGCAGGACAGATCAGAGAGAATTCTTCTCATTTTTGGAATTGTTTTGCTAAGGCAGGTTTGAGAAAAGTTCTCTGGTGGATGCATCCAGTTTTGGTCACCACGATGTAAAAAAGATGCTGAGACTCTAGAAAGAGTACAGAGAAGAGCAACAAAGATGATTAGGGGACTGGAGGCTAAAACATATAAGGAATGGTTGCTGGAATTGGGTATGTCTAGTTTAACGAAGAGAAGGACGAGGGGGGACATGATAGCAGTGTTCCAATATCTCAGGGGCTGCC